TTTCAACGATGTTATCAGCGATAGATTGGCATTAGAGCTGCCATTTTGTCCTTTTTCGGGACAGATCTGCCCCTTTTTATGCAGCCTCAGCCGGAAAGAAATTTAAACATCCCCTGTTTGTAAATCTGAATTTATAATCTTTTTTTTTTTAATTAAACTATCTTATTCATGGCCACATTAAATGGACCTTTGAGTATCGTTCGATAGTTCTGAATAGCTATTGGTGTATCGTTTTGTGCTTGTGGTACGAGTATGGTCACACAACTTTTGCACCCGTCACTATTTCTGTCCACTTTCAAGATGCCTAAAAAAATTATAAGTAAAAGTTCAGGGAACCGTGTTTACATCAATCAGAATTTAAAAAGATTACAGTAAAACATACTGCAAGTATTGCAAATGTAGCATAAATTCAAAAATTGCACAAATAAATCGAGTCGGAAATAAATTAAAAAATCCCTTTTACTAAAGTTCGGAATAAATCGGTAGTTTTGGTTATCGATATTAGCCACCATCGATATTATCGATACCATCGAAAATTGCTTTAAGTCAAAGAAAATAAATATCAAAAAACAATTATATTTGTATAATGTATATTGACTATTTAAATTTTACTCAAAATAAATAAAATAAAAAAAGCCTCAAGGTCTCAACAGCGGTCGTGTTATAAGAAATATTCATCAAAATACTTTATTTTAAAACTATCATTAGTATCGACTTACGGCGTTACTTTATTACTTAACGGAAATCTGTTTTATTTTAAATGACTGCATCAGCCTAAGTGCTTGAATTAATCTTTGTTTAAAAACTAAAAGTGCTGCTACTAATTACTGTTAATAAAGCTTACTGCATATCTAGCTTAAAATATAAGCTCATGTAATCTGTACCTTTATTTAAATCTGGTAATGGAAAGCCAGCTTTAATGGCTGCCGAAGTAGAATTAGAGCAGGGGAGTTGCTGGTGCCCCATCGAGGGTATCAAAGGAGGCGCCCGTCGGGGAAGGGCTGAGATGCAGATGCAGATGGAGGAGGAGATGGAGATGGAGATGGTGCTGGAGAAGGGCTAATCTACGGCCCCCATTCCCAGAACTCAGAGCCCAGAACCCGGTACCCAGGACACAGAACACAGAACCAGTAGCAGTACAAAGAGAGCAATGCCGAATGTGGAACATGCTGCGTCAAGGCATTTTTGTGGCCAAAGCCAAAGTCGGAAAGTCTGAGCCGAGCAGTGAACGGAGCAAAAACGGGTGACTGAGCGTAACTCAAGCGGCAAGGGGATGGGTTGCAGGAGGGGGTGGCAGGACCTCCAGGACCACCACAGTGCCACTGGCACCACTAGCACCACCAGGACTGCCAGGCGGTGGAGCGGCAACAATAAGCATCAAAGGACAGGCAACAACAATAACTAACAAGGGCAATAACAACAGCCATCGGAAAAATTGGGATGTGGGGCGAATGCGACAGGGTGGCTATGGTGGGGCGCACAGAAATTCTTTTCAAAACTCTTTCACGGCAATTTCGCCAATCTTTTCTCTCCTCTTGTCTATTTTCTATTTTTTCTGCCTTCTTTGCGGCCCCTTATTACATGTCTCCTCCTCCATGGCAGGAGCATCCAATTAAGGGGCGTCCTAAGGATTCGGCAACTAGTTTCCAATGCAGAAACTTTAAATGCTGCAAATGTTGTAAAATAAAACTTTAATCAGATTTACATTGTCCATAAGGCAAGGAAACCTAACCCATGAAAACTATTTTGCACTAATGAACAAACTGCAGCTGGGGCAAATTGAATTTTGATTCGTCTTGATTACAATGTCTATATTTCACTTATGATTGGTATTGAATGTAAGGCATCTTCTTCTTGTTTTGAGTCCTAATTGGATAAACGATATTTAGTGCATGCCTTGTTTGAAAACAAGGCAATAATGGAAAAGAGCCGAGAGTGTCAAGATAAGTTGTAGAATGCCTATATAATTAATGTCTTTGCACTTATCCACTTACAGAGCTAATTAACCTAATGAAAGTTAGAGTGCATTTTGTACTTAAGCCTAGTTATATTTTAATCATCTTGCGAAAACTGGAAATCTTATTTCTATGGATATATATTCTGAGTAATAGGAGGTTATGCAATGGAAGCTATGATATGATTTTAAGGCGTACGAGGGCCATTAAACCAAAAGGAAAATTATTGGATAATTGATTCTTCAGAATTTATATTTATAGAAAACAAATTTATGTAAAATTAAAAAAAAAGAACAAAATACTAAACATCGAACATAAAATTAGGTTCAGGCCATCAATGTTTCCGAGGTTTTAAAACCATCGATAGAACTATGGATCGTTTTACCAACCCTAGTCCACAATAGGCACAATTAGAAGCTAACTCAATAATATTGTTGACTTTAAAGCACACTTTTAGCTAACTTTGGATGTTGGTTAAGGCTACAGTGGCAGGGGAAATAAGAAAACGTTTGCAAAAAAAGATAATTTCTTCAAAGCCATTGTCAAGCCATCGACAACTCGTGTGGCCACCCTCGTTTCGCGAGCTTTGCCACTGACCTACTTACCGAAAAATGGCTGACTCGGCGCGGGGTGGAAAGACGGAAGGCGGAGGAAAGGCAAGGAAAGGAAAGCCAAGGAAGGAAGGAAGGCAGGGGAGGGGCGGGGGGAAAGCGGAAAGGCGGAAAGGCGGAAAGGCGGAAAAGCGGAAAAGCGGGTCTGTCTGCTGAGCCCGAGGAGCGGAGCACTCTACGCTTGTTTGATCTGCCTGGACGCGAACGTGGACCTGGACCCATCGGGGGCATTTCGTGGGCTGCGGTGCCGGCACGGCCCACTGTGCCTCAGCCAAAAGCTGGAAAGTCGCGTCGCAAGGCGACAATAATTGGCGCAAGGTGGCCCAGTCAAGGAAAAACACGCAGCCACACAGACAGGCAGACACTTAAGGCGGCTCACGAGGATGGGGCACGAGGATGGGGCACGAGGATGGGGTTTTGTCCTGAGTGACAGAGATGACAATCAACAAAGGAACCACCACACACACACGACAAAAATGACAGGAAGCAGCGACGCCAGCGCCGACTGCAACCGAAATCAAAATCAAAATGAGAATCGCAAAATGCAAAATGTAAAACGCCGCAAATTGCTTGTAGGCAACGCAGACAACAACAACGATATCGCTGGCGACGGATGGCAAAATGGAAATAGAAGATGAGCGGAAAAGCTGGGCGGTGCGACGATGAAAAGCGGTTACTCTAGGCGAAGTGAAAAAATACATATGTCAAGGACCCCGAACCCAATAACGAATGATTGATTTCAAGCTTAACCTTAGCTAATACATATAAGTAATTGATAAATATAGAGTTCAAATCAAAAATTTGTATTCAGCTGTGGTTTTCTTAAAAATGCAAGGAGAGACAAACTTAGGAATATCCTGAATTTTAATATATATATACACACAAAAAAATAGCATCCCAAATTTAAGCGCGATTTATTCTTGCTTTCAGATAGTTTTTTTTAATGAATGAGCTGCGCGTTCTTGAATCAAGAATAAATCATTCTTAAAACCCAAATTATTCGAAAAATATGCTTGATTCAAGAACATTATTCAATAAATTACTCAATACAGTTTTCTTAAAAATGCAAACTTAGGAGCATCCTGAATTTTAACGTATACACTCCAAAAAAAATGATTTCTAAATTTAAGCGCGATTTATTCTTGATTTGAGCTGCTCGTTTTTGAATCAAGAATAAATCATTCTTAAAACCGAAAATATTCGAAAATATGCTTGATTCATGAACACCATTCAATAAACAGGGCAAAACAAGTAAGATTTTCTCTAAACCTATAGGTTTATATATGTACATATATGTACAATATATTCAGAAGAATAGATTTTCTTGGTGAGCACAAACAAGTGCTAAAAGTTTCTAAAAAATCATACTATCCACCAGATCTAGAATCTCTTCCAACCAAGTGAGCTCTACCTCTGACTGGAATTTTGCTCTTCTTTTGTTGGCCAAAAGGATAGGGTTGTGGCGGTGGAAGGGGAAAATGAGAGGAAAACTGCAGCGAGGTGGCGAACACACACTCGCACACACCACACACACACACACACACACACACAGTGACAGTGGGGAAAACAGGGTGAAGGACAATGCGTGCATAACGCTTATTGAAATAGTTCTCAAGTGAGTTCGACGCTGGCGTCGACGTCGTCCTCATCGTCAACGTGGGCTTGCCAAATGGGCCGGAAAGGGCTGCCCAAAGGGGCAGGGGCGGTGGCAAGGGGGCTGCGTGCCCCAAAAGGGGGGCTGTGTGCTAACTAGGAGGCTGCCATTTAATGCCCAACCAGAACCGGTTGAGACAGCTGATATTTGCAGGCTGTGCCTGCCTGCAACTGTCTGGGTATTACACGACTGTCTCCCGCACAATCTACCCACTACTTTCTGCCTTCCGCTTTCCACTTTCTCCTGGTGTAGGGTACAGGGTATCTGGTATCTGGTATCTGGCTGCCATTGCCGTGATTGTCAATACGCAATCCGTAATCCGGCGAAGGCTTAGGAAACCGAAAGAAGATAAGCAGCAGCTTACCAGCAGGGCGGCTGCTGCCTTCAGCTGCCAACTTTTCTGGGTGGTGGTGGGTGGTTCTGGCTATGGCTCTGCAGCTGCGGCCAACGCCACCTCGGTGTGGTATTTATATTTGTTTTGATTTCTTGCGCTGCTGGCTGGGCCCCAACCTGGGCCAGATTGTTTGCCCAGCCCCCGGGGTTACATCACAAAAAAGATAAAGAAAGGAAAGGCAGCAGCTGCAGCTGCAGCAGCGACCATTCTGTTGATCAACCAGCTCCCTGCACCCAAGCAGGGAAATTGCACTCCCCCAATTTCCCGCCTTTTCCGTTGAAAGCAGGGAATTTCGGGGCTTTCAACCGCCTCGTTCAACCAGCGTTCAATGTCTATAAGAGGAGGCGCACAGCCAGTTGCCACTCAGTTGCTCGTGGGCAGTCGAACGGCATGGACGTGTCGCAGCAGCAACACCAGCTGGAGCAGCAGCAACTGGAGCAGCAACAGTAGTAGCATCAACTGGCCAACGGTCCGCCAACCAGCAGCAACAGATCATACTGCCAATTCTTCAGATTACTTTTTTTTGCATTTTTTTTGCATTTTTTTTTCCTTTTTTTTTTTGTTCGTTCGCTGGAGGGCCTGCGAAAGAGCCAAAAATAAACCAAAGTGCGCATACAATTTGAGTGGAGCTGCCTTGAGTGCAGAGTACCGAACTTGTTAGTGGTACCAGTATAAAAAAAAAATAAAAAAAAAAACTAAAAAGATATAGTGTCGAACAGTGAGTGAGTTCAAATTCAGTTTCAGTTTCAGTCCGAAGGGAAAGGGATTAAAAGGCGCAAAAAACTTTTTGGCGCACAAAAGTAGGCAACAGCAGCGCCAACTTTCTGGGTGAGTGTGTGGGTGCCTGTGTGCCTGTGTGTGCGGGGCCTTAAGCCCTTTGCCAAACTGCAACCGCCGAACGCACTTAAGTGCAGATTTATGTTTCGCCTCTCCCACACAGATCCTTCTCGTCCGGCACCATCCATCTCGTCGCCCACCGAGACACTGCCAATTAAGGTTGCCACAGTCACTGCCAAGAAACTAAGACTCTAGCCAGTAGCGAATAAGTTGCCCAAGAACGACTGCCACTGCCATCAGCAGCAACAACAATAGACCAGCTTTGGCACCACCATCACCACCACCAGCAAAAAACAAGAGCAATACAGCTGCAATACAAGCAACAAGAACGTGTTGCTGCCACAAAACGCAGCAGCCGCAACGAGAGCGTCATCTCTGCCCTTCGCACGCCTCTGCGGGTAAGTTGACATTTCATTTTCATTTTGAGTGCATTTTCCCGCCAACGACAATCCACCGACCACGCCCCCTTGCTCTCCCCCTTTTTGCCGCGCGTCCATGTGTGCGTGTTAGTGCCAGTGTTAGTGTTGGTATTAGTGCTCTTGTGTGTGTTCGTGTCGGGGTCAGCGCGTTATTACAAGTTATGTCCTGTGCCAGCAGCTCGTAGTTCGCAGTTCGCAGTTCGCAGTTCGTAGCTCGCAGATTCAGATTCAGATTCAACAACAATGGCCCTGGGACAGCGACACCCCTCTTCAGTTTCAGTTTCACTTTCAGTTTGAGTTCCAGTTCCATTCCGAAAGCGAAAGTGAACCCAATCCAAACTGGCGGCTAAAGTCACGTTTGTCGAGTGGCAGCACAACATTATTTAGAGCCAAGTCCCGCCAGTTGAATCTGACAAACTCCGGTTGCCAGAACGAGCTTAAAATGTGTGGGTCAAATGTTAAACGGCCATCAACGGCATCAGCTGGCAGCAGTTAACAGCGGTGCCCCCGGGGGACACTAATCGAAATATGGACTGAGAATGGCCCAGGGACACGGCGAAAAAGGATCAGAGATTTCTCAAATTTCTGGAAAAACTTTTGAAAAGCTTATGGTTAATAAACATTTGTAAACTTTGTTTTCTTGCCAAGGGTGCCAGCGAAATCACTTAAGTTTTCAAACCACTTATAAAAGTGTATAAAAGAATGCAACAATATATTTTCGATCCAAAATAAGTGGATAAAATCCTTAACGACGTTTTTTTCACTCCCTACTTTTAGACACCCTAATAAGTGGCTTCGAAAGGGTGCCAATAAATTCACTCATTTTAAAACCACTTATATGAGTGTCCAAAAATATGCAACAATATATTTTGGATCCAAAAAAGAATAGATAAAGTCCTTAACGATGTTGTTCCTTTACTTCCTGTTTTTACACACCCTAATAAGTGATTTCGAATAGGTGCCACCGAAATCACTGAAGTTTTCAAGCCACATATAAAGGTGTCTAAAAGTATGCAACAATATATTTTGATCTAGTGCGCAAGACGACTTGTTTCAGTGCCTACTTTTAGACACCCTAATAAGTGAAAGGGAGCCACCGAAATTACTCAAGTTTTAAACCACTTTTAAATGTGTCTAGAAGTATGCAACAATATATTTTCGATCGAAAAAAGAAATGATAAAATCCATAACGACGTTTTTTTACTGCCAACTTGTAGCATCCCCAAAAAGTGATTTCAAAAAATGTGCCACTGAAATCACTCAAGTTTTCAAACCATTTATAAAGGTGTCGAAAAGTAAGCAACAATATATTTTCAATCCAAAAAAAAATTTTAAAAATCCTCAACGAAATTGTTCGTTTACTCCCTACTTTTATACACCCTAATAAGTGATTTCGAATGGGTGCCACCTAAATCACTCAATTTTCAAAACACTAATAAAGGTGTCGAAAAGTATGCAACAATATATTTTCGATCCAAAAAAGAATAGAAAAATCTTTTATTCAATCCATATTTTTAGACAAGTGATTTCGAAAGGGTGCCAATGAAATCATTCAAGTTTTCAAAAAAGTATGCAACAATATATTTTAACCCAGTGCGCTAGACGACTTTTTTCAATGCCTACTTTTAGACACCCTAATAAGTGATTTCAAAACCTCAGTGTGGCCCTTAATTTTAAATTAAGATTTGAATGGTATTAAATAAAAATAAATACATATTTCAAAAAATTTATTACCTTAAAACATGAACCTTTAATAAAATAAAGCTTAAGAACGTTTTCGTAAAAAGTGATATCAGCTCATACTTAATGCTGTCTTAAAAATATGCATTTCATGCTCACTTCACTAACGAAAAACTAAGTGAGATAAACTTATATTTAAAGCTGATTTCAAAAATATGCACAGCTCACGTCACTAACGCATAACAAAGTGAGATCAACTCATAGTTGAAGCTGATTTCAAAAATATGCACTCCAAGCTCCCTTCGCTAAGGCACTCTAGATTTTCCACACGCCAGGCGTTCACATTAATGTAGACGTGCCCCTAAGATCTTAATAGGGCGTAAGCCCACTAGTTTCTCCCCGTGGATACGCACGCTGGTGACCCGCCAGGACTCTAAGGACACCCACTTTGCATGTTTATCTCGCTGTGGGTGGCAATCCCGGCGGAACGACCATTGCCGTTAAGCAATTTCGATAACTGCCGAGCGACAACGTCAACTGGTCATGCCAATTTATGGCCGAAGTTGCTAGTATGCCGTGCTGTGCTGTGCATACAAATGTAAATTTAAATTGAAAATTAATCGGGCAGCGCAGGCGCCACTCTTTGCCACTCTTTGCCGCTCCTTGCGATAAGTTTTCGATTAAAAACTCGTTTAGCGAGCCATCGGAAAATAGGGAAACCAGGGCACAGAAGTCCGAGAAGTTTCTGATTCTGATTCTGTTTCGGTTTCAGTTGCCTTGGGTCTTTAATTAAAAGCTTAATTGGAGGGCGGAAAAAATTAAATAAAATGATTGCGTAATTAAAAGCAAACAAAGCCGAAAAAATGCGAGTCGCCAAAAGGTGGTCAGCAAACAGAAGCAGCCATGGCAGCAGCAGGAGCGGCCATGTCCTGCCAGGGAAATTAAAAACTTAATGGTCAGAAAGGACACACATGGGAGGCTGTCAACGCTCAACGCTCAGCGCTCAACGACTTTGGCCAACAGATGGAACAAGTTTATCTGGTGTGTGTGTGTGTGTGCATTTTATGGGGGCAGGGAAGGTGATTAGGAAGCACCACCGACAGATTGGACAACTTTTCCGACGGGAGACGCACAATGGTGCCGAAAGAAACCAACGCAGTCCAAGTCGGCTAAGGTCTGATTTAGAATTGGAGTTAGAAACAAAATTGATTTAATAAGATTATCAATCTTGTCTTACAGAATGACAAAAATGCATTAAATTCTATAGAGATAAGAAATTATAACTTTAAACTTTCGAAATACATCTAGTATTTCCCATCATTAAACCGAGAGCTTACCTATAGTAATTTATATACGTTACTCGTAGAGTAAAGAGCGTTTCCGTACCTGTTGATCAGGATCACTTGCGGAGGTGATCTAGCCATCTGTCCAGCTGTCTGTCCGTATAAATGCTGAGAACTCGAAGACTATAAGAGCTAAAATCTTGGGACTAAGCATGCAGATTCTTGGGGTTCCTGCGCAGTACAAGTTTATTTCATTGGACTCTAACGCCCACAAACGCCCACAACGCTGAATCGGTCTGTCTGGCGTAAATTTTGTAAAAATATAAATGAGGTTTTGTTCTTTTTATCAATACCCATATACATACCAAAAATCGTTCAATTCGGACCGTTAATTATAAAGTTATAGGCAAGTAAAGAAATAGACGATAGGAGGCTTGTTTGTGTGGTGTGCCATCTTGGAAACAGCCGAGTTCCTGCATGCATATCTCCATCTCCCGCGCACTCCCATATCTGATTAAAGGGTATGTGATAGTCGAGTCCATCGGCAATATCGTTTTCCCTTGTTGATTTTTTTTAGGGGTAGTTCCCGCACTCAGACCCACTGTCCTTGGCTTTTCCCCCTTCCAGTATTCTGGGAATCTACTTAAACTTTGTCTTGAGTTGATTTCCTTTTACAGTTTGCCCATTCTTGTTGCTGGAAAAACTTAATTTGCCGTCTGTCCGGGTGTGGGGTCCACACGAGTGTGTGCTCGTCTGTGTATCCTGGCTGCCAGGGCTTGTCCTGCTAGCTTGTCCTGCCTGCTTGTCACCAGGGCCACATCATTTGGTGTGTAAATTAAAGAGCCAGTAGCCCAGAACCGTCCAGAAAATGGAAAAACTGTCCACTCGCACAGGCATATGGCGGGGCACACATGCAAGGATATTCATCTATGTGGCACATCGTTAAGCGCTGCCAGTTTGACTTAATTTGCGTTAAACTTTTTTGTTAAACATATCATTCGCCTGCCAGGCCCGGCCGCAAATATACAAATGGGGGAAATGGGGGAAAATTGGGGAAATGGGGGCTGCCCGCCCCAAACACCAAAAGAAAATAACCAAAACGTGAAGCGGGAAATGTAAACAAAGGCATTAATCATGCCAGCACACATGCGGCAGCAGACAGGGATATAGATAGATGGATCGCTGTGGAAAAAAGAGGGAAATCGGGGAAAATCGGGGGAAAACGGGGAAAACCCCTAGCAGGTCCATTAAGCTACGCTTCGGTTTTGGCTTTGCTTTTTTATTCGTGTTGCCATTTTATCTTTTTTTTTTGGTTGTCCTGCGTTTCGGTGGGAAGATAAACAGGCCAAGTCACTCTCGCATGGCATTTGTCCCCGTTCCCCCTGCACCAGGGCCCCCATGTTTGTTTAAATGACAAACTGCTGTTTGTTAACCGAATAAAATGAAAAAGCCAAGCAAAAACTACACACAGCCAGCCAGAAAGGGAAACGTAAAATGTAAAACAAATCCCTGGCAGGGGGGGGAGGTTTGGCAGGACCCGCCCACCAAACCGAACCCAAACGAATCCAGACGAACCGAACCGATCCAAACCGATCCGGGCTTCTATTTATTCGCCAGGCAAACTAAACCGCAATAACTGTAAGTGCTCGGCAAACAGCAGCGACGAAGAGCTCGAAAACCAAAAACTAACAAGCGACAGTTGACAGTCGACGCCCCAGCACCACCCTAAGCCACCCTAAACCACCCCAAGAACCACCCTGAACCACCCCGAACCACTGAGCAACCAGCGAGGCAGTCGTGTGTGTCGGACAGGTCTGGCGAATTATTATGATAATCGCAGGCATAAATTATGCCAGGATCCAGGACTCGGACCAAGGTGGGGAAACAAACAGACGCACACGGAATCCGCATCCCGGATACCGGATCCTGGACTCAATGCAGGTGTCGTACAGTGAGCACTCTCGCCGGCAACCGCAATCCCCCAGTCGCTCTTGCTTTCGATGGCTTTTATGTGGTGCCTTGGGGAAATTAAGTTTGTGTCATGTTTGTGTCACCGCACAAAGCTCTAAGCAAGGTGTTCCGAGTGCCAGCCAAGCCAAGCCATGCTTTCCCCAGCGCGGCCACAGTGCGTATGCGTGATATGCAAATGTCGTCAGCCGCAAAGAGTGCTGCATACTTTCGGGCAGCTGCAGGCCACGCTTTTTGCCATTTCACCATTTTGACACACGGCTACCCCGACACACAGACACACAAAACCATTAGCCCTTAAAGCCCGACACACTCAGCTCCGGCATTCTTTTTTTATAATTCCTACCCCCGACATTTCCGCTCGTTGGCCACGCTCGGGGGCAATTTATCAAATATCTTATACGAATTTCTGCTGCCTGTCAACGTTGATTTTAGCGCTTAGCCGGGCGCCACCCCTTGCCTCTGTGTGGGAGTGGCAACAAATAAAGCACACCTGTTGCCGCAGCCCACACGTCAATAATAATGTGAGACACCGCCACCGCCATCGCGTCCTGAGTGTCCTGTCGCATAATAAAACACCCACGTGACGGGGACAAAAGTTCGACAGACAACCAAGTAACAGTCTTTCTCCATCCCAGGTCTCCCCAACAGAAGATGCAGCTTGCCAGGACTGCCAGGATCGAAACCAATTCTGCCCGGGCGTGTCACCGGCAACGATTCTATGAACCCAATGCCGAAGTACGCTGGCAGCACTCCGAGCACTAAACCGGCTTAGTGGAGCCACTACTACCCCGGATCCGAACAGGTAAGGCCTCCAGATGCGATTCATATATATATATAGGTCTATAAATACCATTCCCCGCAATATCCCCCTACCCCTCCAGGGTCCCCTCATTCAGTACCATTCATTGCCAACTTATTTACGGGCCGCAATTATTTCCAGCATTTTATTTTTACGTCTCTCTGGCAGTTGCTTTTCAATTTTTCGTTGATTTGTTTGTGCTGCGCGTCGGCAATCAAAGTCGCAATTGTTCCGCCAACTGGCAGTCCGCCCCTTATCGCTGGTGTTTGTTAGTGTGAGTGCTTTGTTTTTATCGCACTGTGTACAAGTGAACGCTTCCGTTTCCGCTGGTCGCGTCACAGTCGGTTCGGTTTGGCTTGCTTCTCCTTCTTGCTATTTAAATTACTTGGCAATCGGAGGGAGGCATTCCAAAGCCATTCATTCATGAGCCCGGACTATTTTTACACGCAATTTCTCAGGGGGTGCGGGTGCTCTGCGCTTTACTTACACAAATTAAACTCGATTCGCAGCGGAGGTATCATCGGAGGAACTATGATAACGAGACTCTATAACACCGAAGAGGATCCCGCCTACTGCTCGTTCATCTGGGGCTCCAATCTGACCAGCAGCGCCGAGGTCCTGGCCGCCAATGCCACGTCCGTCTTTAGCAGCGACCTGCGGGACGACTTCTATCGGGTAAGTGCGATTCTAGTCGGTTGATTTCTGGTCCTTCTGGTCCTTGTTTCTCGGCCATCTCGCACCTTGGGCCAGTTAGTTGGCCCAGGTCCTGCGTGGCCTTCGAACGATGCCTGCTGCGCAGAAAAACTGTTGCCTACTTTCGGGCGCCACGGGAAATGTTTTTCACAAATGTTTTGCAGCCGAACAGCAGGGCCATCGAAAGGGGCAAAATCGGGGAATTGCTCATTTCAGGGCACAGCAGGCTCAGTTGCAAGGCCTCCGTATCTTGGATACACCCAGTTGCCAGGTTCCCTTAACTCTTTAAAATCTAGCTGGCCCTTGGTAAACAAGACCAAGATTAGAACGAGATGTTTTTTCATTTTGACTTAGCTTTTAAAACTTTGTAAACAAAATGTTACGGAAATCAAAAGTCTGTATCCTTGATTGTTGGCTTTAGAACCAAGAAATGGGTTTCTCAAGGCGCATTTAAGAAAAACAAAAGGTTAAGCCGAACTATATTGATACTTTTTTTTTAAATTTATCAATCCAAATGTATTTTTTTAGGGAAACATAAGGTTTCCTGACTATTACAAAATGTAGAAATAAAAAAATGTAGGCTTGTTTTAAATATTTGTTATTTAGTTGTTGTCTGAACAAGCTTCTGAGCTTCTGAAGGTACAAACTGTCTTTATCAAAACTATTCAACATGCAAAAGAGTTGTTATATTTATGGCTATTTAGCACAGGTTTTCCCATTTAATTTTCATAAACTGGAACAAAAGAAAGGGCATTTTCATATCGGCCTCTGAGGGCCAGGAGCCTTGTACCTTGCTAAAAAAAAGCCCCAGCTTTCTGACTGACAACCGAAAGCTGCTTTGTTCGCAACTCTGGCTCAAGGCGATGCAAACATGAAAAACAAAAGGCGGCAAAGGGTGGCAAAAGGGGGAACATGTGGCAGCAAAGGAGCAAGGAAGCAGGAGGGGCTTAGGAATGGGGCATGTGAGGCATGTGGGGAATGCGTGTGTGCATAAAAAGTCACAAAATAAAAGTGTCAAGTTGACTATTGAATTTTTATCTGCGGCAGCCCATCGGAGAGCCAACAAAGCAGGCGAAGCCACAAAGAGATGATTTACGAGCTGCCGTCCTGTTTCCCCACACTTACACTTACACCCACTTGTTTACTATCCTTGCAGGATGTGGAGGATCCGCGGACCGAATCGCTGAGGGAGTACTGCTACGGCCTGGTGCTGCCCATCATCTGCGCCATGGGCATCATCGGCAACGTGCTCAACCTGATTGTGCTCACCAGGCGCAACATGCGTGGCACCGCCTACATCTACATGAGGGGTAAGCACACATATGTGCCACACGGCACCTCCTCCGAGGAGTCCTTGACCACACACACATTTCCAAAGCCCAACCAGCAGGCAAGTTCCCAGGGCCAAAAGACCGAACTCACTGCCATATCCATTTCGGCAGGCGGAATCCCAATTAATCGACAACCGCATGCAAGCCAGTATTCAACTATTTGAGCCACTAATGTGAATTCCCAGGGCCATAGGTCTGCTAATATGACGGTTATGGAAATCCAAGGTATGCCCAATTACCTGAGACTACCATTCAGCCTCTGGTTCTGGTATCCACAAGGCCCCCTTAATTTTTGGGCCTGTTGATTAGGAACACCTTCCATCATAATCAGTATTTTCCCTGCACATTTACACAAAATAATGAGGGTAAGGGGTGAACTCCTTTGATAAAATTGATACAATTTTTGTTTGGTAACTTCCATTGAATTCAAAAATGCAAGCCAGTATTCAACTATTTAAGCCACTAATGTGAATTCCCAGGGCCATAGGTCTGCTAATATGATGGTTATCGAAATCCAAGTCATGCCCAATTACCTGAGACTACCATCCAGATTGAACAGCCTCTGGTTTAATTTTTGGGCCTGTTGATTAGGAACACCTCCCATCATAATCAGTATTTTCCCTGCACATTTACACAAAATAATGAGGTTAAGGGGTGAACTCCTTTGATAAAATTGATAACATTTTTGTTTGCTTTCCATTGAATTCAAAAATGCAAGCCAGTATTCAACTATTTGAGCCACTAATGTGAATTCCCAGGGCCATAGGTCTGTAATATGACGGTTATCAAAATCCAAGGCATTCCCAATTACCTGAGACTAACATCCAGATCCACAAGGCCCAATTTAATTTTTAGGCCTGTTGATTACGAACACCTCCCATCATAATCAGTATTTTCCCTGCACATTTACACAAAATAATGAGGGTAAGGGGTGAACTCCTTTGATAAAATTGATACAATTTTTGTTTGGTAACTTCCATTGAATTCAAAAATGCAAGCCAGTATTCAACTATTTGAGCCACTAATGTGAATTTCCAGGGACATAGGTCTGCTAATATGACGGTTATCAAAATCCAAGTCATGCCCACTTACCTGAGACCAGCATCCAGATTGAACAGCCTCTAATTTTTGGGCCTGTTGATTAGGAACACCTCCCATCATAATCAGTATTTTCCCTGCACATTTACACAAAATAATGAGGTTAAGGGGTGAACTCCTTTGATAAAATTGATACAATTTTTGTTTGGTAACATCCATTGAATTCTAAAATGCAAGCCAGTACTAAACTATTTGAGCCACTAATGTGAATTCCCAGGGCCATAGGTCTGCTAATATGACGGTTATGGAAAACCAAGCCATGCCCAATTACCTGAGACTACCATCCAGATTGGTCCACAAGGCCCCCTTTAATTTTTGGGCCTGTTGATTAGGAACACCTCCCATAATAATCAGTATTTTCCCTGCACATTTACACAAAATAATGAGGTTAAGAGGTGAACTCCTTTGATAAAATTGATAACATATTTGTTTGGTAACTTCCATTGAATTCAAAAATGCAAGCCAGTACTCAACTATTTGAGCCACTAATGTGAATTCCCAGGGCCATAGGTCTGCTAATATGACGGTTATGGAAATCCAAGGCATGCCCAATTACCTAATACTAACATCCACATCCACAAGGCCCAATTTTATTTTTGGGCCTGTTGATTAGGAACACCTCCCATCATAATCAGTATTTTCCCTACACATTTACACATAATAATGAGGTTAAGGGGTGAACTCCTTTGATAAAATTGATAAAATTTTTGTTTGGTAACTTCCATTGAATTCAAAAATGTCAGATATTAACTTACATAAAGCTAATGAATTTTTGAATCTGCAAATATTTCGAATATTAACTTACAGCAGCTCATTAGGCTACAGAGCACTGGTGGTTAGAATTGATTTGTGGAAGCGCGGCCAATGTGGAACCGACGAGCAATTGCAATTTTCATCAACAATATCTTTTGCACATTTTCCCAATTAACAATTCAATTAGTGCAAATGGAAGGGTCCTTTGAAACATGCGTGGCTGGGCCCATTGGTTTTGTTTTTCATCCAATTAGGCGAAATTTTTGGTTGGCCCACGGAGTGGGGAATTTTCAAATGTGAACAGTATCCCTTTCAAATAATTGTTAGTCCGAAAGAAATGTCCAATGACAAAGCACATGTGCATTGACTTGCGACGCGGTGATTAGTGAATTTACGACTTCCGTGCTGAGCTTTTTCATCAAATGCTAGGAGTATCCATTTCTAATTTGTGTGGGTATTGACTAAAAATGCAGCATATTCCCATTGTTCACCGGAGTTCCACCACAGTAGCGCCTAATGAATCCGCCGTGGAGCTCTTACTCTACATGCGATTAGGAGGTCTTCTTTTCTGGCAGAATTATTTTTTGTCTTTGCAGCACAGCAAGCCTAAATACCATGTTCATTTCCCATTTCGAGTATGATTTGCGATAGCCCATATTGGATTTCTGGCCCAGGGACACACTCGTATGTCTTCGCCCACGCAAACATTGAATTTCCTCAGCCTCATTGGCATTCCGGGCGGGGTGGAGTTTGATCTGTGGATGGCAGGGAATCGGGCTCGACTCTTGACTGATTGCCAAATTGAGTTTCGCTTTAGAACATATGTATTCCTTACTCCGTACTCGCCAATCCCAGTCCCCCCCATTGCCGCATTGGGCCATTGTGTGCCAGAATTTATTCATTAACCCCGACGATTTCTGGCGAAATTGAAGCTGCCACAATGCGGCTAATGTATGCGCACCGACGTGTGCCTGTGCAGCTTCATTGAAAGTTATTTCATTAGATGAGACCGGTTAACCCGTGAAAATTTATGCAGAGCCCCTAAGTCTGCCCCGGACCACGCCCATCCTCCAACTTTCTGCTGTATTAGACAGCTTGTCAACTCTATTAGACACTCGTTTGCTTTATGGCGCTTTAATTGATTAATGAGCTCCACTTCCGGTCCCACTTTTCGGGCGGGAGAAAAGGCAACTTTGTCAACGCCGCCACTTGCTGGTAATTTTTAGCTCGACTATCAGTCATTGTGAGCCCAGCCCCACCGAAAAAAGGCAGCGAGCAAGGACAACAAAAGCAGGCGACTCACTTTACTTGTCAAGGGAGAGTCCTGGCAAGACGAGTCGTAGGATACCCTACAAAAAGTGAATTGTAGGGATCAGTTTGACATTGGAAAATTTATTAAGTATTATTTCGAACAGTAAACGATGTGACTTTGACATTAGGGAGTGCCATTTCTGGGATCTCCTTTCTTTGAAAGCTCTCTAACATCGAGACAGCAATATTTAAAACTCTCCGAAATAGAAAAAGACAGCAAGAAGCAATATGGCGTATCTAGAAAGAAGTAATACTGAACTTCATAAGACCATAATATCCTAAAAACTTTTATATCTGTGTGGGCTAGATTGGTTGTTTTACCTGGCTGAGCCCGAAGGATGCAAATTCCTCGATCTAACTGTATTCAGACCTGAAGCATTGTTTTTATGGATTTCCGCTTTGAACTTTGCTATCATTTTCGAATCAGGATAAGAACTACCTCAAGGCTCGTGCCCAATTACCGCCCTGCTAAGCCCCCGACTTTATGACCCGCCATGGGCCAAAAGTGTGTGGCCGATCTGACTGCGATTTTAGTACCCCATAAAAGGGTATATAGGCCAAGGGAGGCTCGGGGGAAAGGGCCCTGCAAGATGCGAAAATAAAATGTAAAATGCTTCAAATGTAATACGCATGCTATGGCAGCATAATTGATTGCCCTTTCGACTGCCTTCAGTCGGGTGAAGTGCAGAAGGGTCCTTCGAAAAGGACTGGGGTCCTTGGGAGCAGAAGGAGAACCAGAAGGAGAAATGCAAAGCGAGACCCTTTGGCTGGTGACTCTGGCTGAAATATCACCAGCCTCCTCGGCTTTGCTCAAGTGGCAGTAAATAAAAGTTGTGAAGAGCCTCGCCGGCATGAGTAATAATGACCGAAATCAGAGCGCCACCCAACACGCTGCTCATTTTATTAAAATAACAAAAATATTTTGCTGCTCGCAGCCTTTTTACGATGCCAACCGACTGGCGGCCCATTTGTTATTTGGCGGTCATTGCCACCAAATGGTGTCCCCTCGCTGCTCCTCGTCCTTTCCTCCGGGGGGCTCCTCGTGTGTGTTTTGACCAAAGTTATGCAGCTGGGGATGGGCAAAAATGTTTTATTGCCAACCGGGGAATGCCAAAGTGGCAACAGGCCCCGGGGACACGCCGGGGAGATCCCCGATCTCAGCTGTTTAAATAAATTTCACAAGGATCTCGTCCAAAGGCCACTCCATCACCGGTCCGGCGGTCCGGCAATCCGAAAAGTCAGTCCTCAAAAGGAAATTCCACTGCCGACAAGGCAGGCACCAGAGATTTTCGCGTGGAAGGGGCTGCTCGAGTGGCGGTGAAGGGCTGTTGGGCAGGACACTTGTCAGGCTTGGCGCAAACAAAACTGACATTTATATTGATGTGTCCCTGTACCCAATTAGATGCCCATCATTATGGGGGCCAGCCGGTGGCCTCCCCCCGTTTTCGGGGAAGTCATACATCGAACATTAGGCCCTGTGTGCACAGCAATTTGGCGGGAAGCAGCAGGGCAGCAGGCCGCACATGATATTAGTAATAATGTAATTATATGGTCATAAACAAAATAATAAATCAATAAACAACACACAAGCGCACGCACAAGGGAAAAAGTTATCAACAAAAAAGAAAAAGAGGGGGAAAACAGGAGGCAGCGCTGAGGAAGTCAAGAAAAGGGAACCGGAAAGCAAAGCCATTCATTTGGGCTGCGACTCAAGTGAGCGGGAGTGTGTGTGTGTGTGTGCCAGGACTTCCTGTTGCCACATGGAGGGCGGAAACGGCGCCATAATTATGCCATAAACCCAGCCATAAAGGACATTTTTATAGATTTGCCCGAGTTAATCCCTTTGTTGTTCTACCCACCCTCATCCCTTTCAGCCTACTCCACCGCCGCCCTTTTGGCCATCGTGTTCGCCATCCCCTTCGGCATCCGCATGCTGGTGCACAAGGATCGAGGCCAGTGGGAGGAGTTCGGGCCCGCCTTCTACACCGCCCACTTGGAGCTTTATTTGGGCAACGGCTGTTTGGGTGAGTCTCGTCTCGGATGTAGGATTTGCAACAGGGAGAGCTTTCACAGGGCGAAGCTCTGGCTCTCTTAGAAAGCTTGAAGGTTGGACCCAGCTTTAAGTTCAACGAGTTTTTATACTAGGTAGAAACAAAGTGGTTCCAAAATTACATAGAATTTTAGAATTAGCCATCATATCTAATGTTTTAAGCAAATTGGTTGATGTATTTAGATCTAATTACTTAAATAACATGTTTGGGCTTACCCTGATTTAATATTGACCCTTGTTTTCCACCCTAACCCCACCTTTTCCGGGGCTGCCAGGCGTCGGCGTAATGATGTTACTAGTACTGACCATCGAGCGTTACGTGTCCGTTTGCCACCCCGGATTCGCTCGACCGGTGATGGGACCACCTGGGTAAGCATGCCTTCAGTGCCCGAAACCCCCCTACTCAACTCCATTTTCCCCCCCCCCCCATCCCGATAGCGTTGTGGTCTTCCTCACCTGCTTGGCCACGGTGATCGTCTACCTACCGAGCATCTTCCGCGGTGAGCTGATCAAGTGCATCTTCGGCTCGAGCGACGTCTATGTGTACTTGCGACGCGACAATACGATCTACCAGCAGACCATCTTCTACCGCGTCTACAAGATCATGCTCGAGGTGATCTTCAAGCTGGTGCCCACTCTGGTGATCGGGGGCCTCAACATGCGCATCATGATGGTCTACAGGCGGACCTGCGAGCGCCGCAGGCAGATGGTATTGAGCCGCCCACACGCCCACGGATATATGAAGGACGACGATCCACGCAAGTTCGCCGAGGAGCGGCGATTGTTCCTGCTGCTCGGCAGCACCTCGATCTTGTTCCTCGTCTGCGTCTCGCCCATGGCCATTCTCCACATGACGATCGCCTCGGAGGTCTACCCGAGCTTCCCGTTCCAGGTGTTCCGGGCCAGCGCCAATCTGCTGGAGCTGATCAACTACTCGCTGACCTTCTACATCTACTGCCTGTTCAGCGAGGACTTCCGCAACACCCTGGTGCGGACCATCAAGTGGCCCTGGCTCAAGGGCAAGTTCTGCCACCAGGCCGAGCACGAGGTGAGTGGCAGTCCACCGGCCACCGCCGGGACTGTAGCAGTAGCCGGAATCGGAATCGGACCCGGAACCGGAAACGGACCGGGAACATCAAGCCGAACTAAATCTAATTTTCATCCGGCAATACCGGCGCTGACTCTCACCCCCGCAGAACCCGAGGACCGCCCCCGGCTTGCCAATGGCGTGCTTCACTAAGGTGGACAAGGGCCATCAGAAGCACCATATTACCACCACCTCGGGCCTGGGACGATCGAGTAGCATTTAGCCAACGCCCAACACCCACCAACACCACCACCACAACTACCCATCCGCTACTCGAGACCCTACTTCCGAACTCCGAGAACCCTCCCAGCCCAGAGTAACCCCAACACCATCCACTAACATCAATTCCCCCCAGGTCGCCGAGGTGTGAATACCCTTTTTCTGCTCTCGCTTAAGATCCTGCGACTCTCGATGTGTTTAGATTGCGTTAAACGATAAACGATTAGCGATAAACGATAAACGAAAAAATAACCATAAAAGATATCCAGCGCCACGCATTGCGTATATAAGTGTCTGTGTATGTGTGTGTTCCTTAAAAGTATATATAACTACATATATATGAATAAATTTTTTTTGGTAGCACTAGGATTAGGGATAAATTCAACTTAATCGAAAACGCATCAATAATCGGCAGAAAAAGTAAGCGATAGCAGGAGTTCAACCATCGATAGGTAAAATCAGTTCGATTACTGGAAAGCTGGCCACTTGAGCCAAGGAGAACCAAGAAATAGCTTGAAGGATTTGTATGTCGCAGGATCAGGATCCTTAAACACAGTTAGAGATGCAGGTATGAAGATATCGTAAATGGATAGCTTGCCATCCGAAAATGAAGGAGCTCGTATACATTAGTTTTAGCAAATTTTCACAGACAAAATCATACACAGAAACAGAACACCTACAGAACATCAACAGACAGACATATAGACAGACAAGACGAACACACAACGAGAGAGAGCTAGACGTCGATGATATACAGACATACAATACTTATATACACTTGCATATTTCTATATGTGAATGATATTTATGTAAACGACGTATTTATGTATACACGCGTAACTTTAAGCGAATATATTTATATATGCATATATGTATCTATTGATTATAGCATTTAAGTGTGCGCAAGAGGAACCCTGATTCCAACCCGGCCCCAGATTCAGATCCAGATCAAGATCCCAATCGAGATCTAGATCCATCTGGCATCCTGATGAGCCCTTTCGTCTGACGAAACTGTATTGATTGTTGCGTGTGTTGAGATTGAATTGTTAAGTTAATTAATTGTAGTCGCACTACTTATAGTTCTACTTTTAATTCTAGTTTTAATTCGAGGACTAAGTTATCTAGGTATCTAGACTAATCGACGCGATTTGAGATTCCCCCGTCCTTGGTTGTCAGTCTGAAGGGGAAGTCCCCTCCCCCGAACTCAAGCCGAAGGAACCCCTGCCCTCTGACCCCTTGCAGCACGCGTAGCTATCTTAACTAAATGTGTGTACCTAGTATTAAAACAAAGCAAAGCAACCGAAACTTTTCAGTGATGTCTATTTACCCGCGCAACGAGAAGAGTCAGGAGTAGGTGCTTCGCAACCCAACGGCCAAGCTATGGATTGCATTGCATTAAACCTTCAAATATCTAAATGTTTATCTTACTGAAGATGGATTAGGAGTAGCGATATTCCAGGCGGTATGGTTATAACGAGTAGCGGTGTAGGTCTATTTTTCGAAATTCGAGAGGAGTTTCAAGAGAGCAGGTAGCTTACATTGGCAGCGACTTTAGTGAATATAACCCGGGACAAATTCTGAAAGTATATCGGAGCGATATATTGGATAAGCTTACGTGTTGAGATCCTCCTCGAAAAATTCTACGCAATTTTAGGAAATTCCTTATGATAATGATTACGGTTTCATGATCTATGAAATATTTTATGAGTTGTGTACCCTTGCAGAGGGTATAATGATTGCAGTCAGAAGTTTGCAACGCAGTAAAAGGAGACGTTTCGACCCCATAAAATATATATATTCTTGATCAGCATTACTAAACGAGTCGATCTAGCCATGTCCGTCTGTGCGTTTCTACGCGAACTAGTTTTTCAGTTTTAATAATAATGAAAATAACTTCTTATTATAGCTTCAGTTTTTTTTTACATATTATGTTCTAATCTTAGAAACATAGAATATTCGAAAAAATAATGAAAATAACCTCTTTTAATTGTAGCTTCAGTTTTTTAGACATATTTTGTTCTAATCTTGGAAACATAATTTTTTATGATTTCAAAATTTCAAATTAAACTTTTAAAAAATCAGACGACTAAATCATAAAGCTGCCATAGAAACGATCGGATAAAAATGGGAAACTAATAGGATTATAATTATACATCGTTATTTTTGATCATATTCTCTTCTACTCCAGTAACTTCTTTTAATTATAGCCTCAGTTTTTTTACGTATTTTGTTCTAATCTTAAAAACATCATTTTTTATGATTTCAAAATATCATATTAAATTTTTAAAAAATAAAACGACTAAATCATATAACTGCCATAGGAACAATAGGATAAAAATTGGGAAACTAATAGGAAAATAATTATATATCATTATTTTTTAACATATTTTCTTCTATTCCAGTAACTTTTTTTAAATATAGCTTCAGTTTTTTTTACATACTCTGTTCTAATCTTAGAAACATCATTTTTTATGATTTCAAAATTTCATATTAAACTTTTAAAAAATAAGACTACTAAATCATATAACTGCCATAGGAACAATAGGATAAAAAATGGAAACGAATAGGAAAATAATTATACTTCGTTATTATTGATCATATTCTCTTTTACTCCAATAGCATTTATTCATTATTTCATACTTACAAAATAAATTTCATAAAAATCGGAACACTTTATCATATAGCGTCATACAAAAGATCGCCAAATTAATGCCAAAATATACAATACAACATATACGCTATAAAATTTAAATGTAAAATTATCTTTATATTTCTGTAATTTTTTTTTATTTTCTAAAAGTTGGAAAGCTCCTGTATATACACTGCTCCCATAGGTACAACCTGCAAGGGTATATAAAATTCGGCTTGCCGAAGCTAGTTTCCTTTCTTGTTGTTGGTGTTTTTAAGTATTCCATTTTAGTCACTTCTTCGGAAAATGTTATACAAAATTGTTAAGTTTTTTCAAAATAGATAGGTTAAAGAAAACTTGATAAAGCTTATTAAAGATGAGGGTTTCCGAATATATACCATATTTTCAAATATGTTAAATAGTTTTAAAATATATTGCATTGCAATCTCAAACAATATCCAAAAAAATATATATCTGTTATATTTTAAACAAATGGTAAATTATGAATTTACAAAATTTGAATTTAAAATAGTAATAATTTTTTCAAGGACCTACATGAGCCGTTACAAAAAAAGTTACATACTCGTCGGGAGGCAAAGAATATCCCTGCATTTGGAAGCTACACAAGGTGAATAATCACATTGAATGGAATTAGATCTTTTTGTTTTCGTTTTCCAGAGCTCAGCTCAAAGCCAAGAGAGAAATTAATATTTAGGAAAGTAGATGAACGAATTGAAAAAAGTGAAATGTCAGGCAACTTGAGGCATTTAGGACACCAGAAACCCGGAAATCAGAACAGGCAGCACGAAGGCAAATTAAGAATATCCAAAAATAGAGTCAGAGCAGCGTGAACGAAAGCAGATGGAGTTTAAACGAATAAACCATTCAATACATTGCATAACTTACCATTAACAGCATTCAAATATTCCATACGAAAAGAATTTTAATTGGTGTCAAAGTTAAATGAATAAAAAAATTTTGAGGCATGCCAATGGAGACTTTCATTTTGGTTGACGCTGGTAAATGGTTAAAAGAAACGAATTATGTCCAAAAAAATCTTTATTAGTAAACTATAGTTAACAGCAAAAAAAAAAGTTGGTTTGCAGAGGCGTGGGAAAATGGAAGAGCAGCGCGATCATCACACAGCAGCAGGAATAATACCGAATGCATCCTTACAGCTAACCCTTAGACTAGTCTCAGTTCCCGGATCTCTCTCCGTCCTCTGGGAGGTCCCCTACCACGGTCGCCACACCACCAGTCGCTGCTGCACCAGCTCCGCCAGCTGGCGCTGCCTCTGCCGCTTTCTCTCGAAGATCTGGTGGCGAATCTTCTGCAGGATGCTATCACGTGGTGCCGGCCCAGCTGAACTCGTGGATGTGGCAGACGAGGATTGATGATGCAGCTGCTCGATGAACTCCAGGTCCATCTCGTGGGGCGGCGGTGGAAAGTGCTCCTTCTCCGGCTCCTGATCCTGGTCCTGATCCCGATCTGCAGCCAGATCGCACTGGTATTGCAGTTTGAAACGTTGGCGCTGGGGGGAAAAGAAATATAATGTCCATATTAAAAAATCTTACTTATTTCTTCAATGCTCATTTTGCTCTTATATCATCTCATCTTAATGCAAACCATTATTATTATTTTATTAAACATTTTCTGAAAATGATATGCAATCCATCTCAAAGTTCTCTGCCGAGTTCTATCATACACAATTTGAATGTTCTTTTTTCCAAGCTTATTAATGAAATTAGTTTAGTTTCGAACTGATTCAGTTCAATTTTTTCTGATACCATTTTCTTGTAAGATCAAATTAATCTATAAGTGTCTTTTAAAAACCGATCCCTGGTCAACTCCAATTAAAATCTCGGTGCTTACCTTCTTTCGTGCCGCATTCTCGGCCAGGAATCGGCAGAGCTGCTGCAGCTGCTGCTCGGCCAGCTCCTCCTTGTCCTTCGCGATGTGATCCGGATCTGGGTCCTGGTCCTGCTCCTGCTCCTGCTCCCGCACCAGGTGATCCTCCAGGCGGCGCTGCTGCTGGCGCTGCTTGATGGCCGCCTGCACCTTGCACCGGGTGGCCGAGCTCAGGCTGAGATCCATGCTGCGTTGCTGCTTCAGTATCTTGTAGATGACGCCCATCGAGGTTGGTGGCTCTGTAGTGGGTCCTGCAATATCACCGACGTATATGTGTATCCCCGATATTCGAGCGCGTCGAGCGGCGGCCAAAGACTGTCCCGAACCGCTCGCCTATCACGGGTTTATATGTGCCCTCTCCGGTTTGTTTGGAGACCGACTCTCCGAAAGATTAAAAATAAAACATAACTCGTGGGCCCATGTGTTACTGGTTGCCGTTTTCGTTTTTCCGCCTTCAGATCGCTGGTGCCGCACATTGCGCGCCAAACTCGAAACTCCGATTTCGACTCCAACTGCAGCCCGCTTTATGGGACATTGCTCAAGTGGAGTCGGTTCTATTTTCTGCTCTCATTACAATGCCTTTTAGCAGCGCAGCACACAACACATGTGGCAGCATCAGCGCCGCACAATCGCCCCAAAAATAGACTCTCTACCACAGCTGCAACACTTTCGCTGCACCGACCGCTGCAACATGCAACATCCATCGGCGGCATCGGCGCATGTGGCCGTCGCACAGTCAAAGTCCCAGTCCCATTTCCATCTCCATCTCCAAATTCAAAATCCGGGTCCTGCTCCTTCTCCTCCATCATATCCATTCCCAAAACTCGAACCGAATTTTTTCGTAGCAATCCGCTGCGAGAAACCGCATGTTTTGGCGCCTGTTTTCGATTTGACAGGGTAGCTTGGGTATGCTTTTTATACCTTTTCGTAACTGGTATTATAGTTATGTTGATATCATGCCAGTATTTTATAAATATAATGTTATTTTCGTCGCTTACTCTGCTTAACTGCAAGAATAATAACTATTATTTCATCACCGACTGCGTCTTAAATCCAAAATGGTACCTATTAACATTGGAATCTTAAAGATCGCTCAGGCATAAACGAAGACCATCTAGTAAACGATGACCACATATTAGATATTGGTAACATTGGTAACATACTTCAATTTACTTCTTATTATTATTGTAACAGGAAAGTAACTATTTATATAAAAATCATAAAGGGTTATATTAGTTCCGAATTCCAAAATGAAGTTATCCCAAAGACTTTTTTAAACATTCGGGATCAGACAACAAAAATTAATATTTTTCAAGAACTAAAACGAAACTTGAACTGGGATATAACAAGTGTATCTAAAAATCAATAAACTCAGTATCTCGAGAAACACTTTAGATATGGAAATAATTGTTCAAAGTATTATAACTTATAATTATAACAAATATAAGAGACAAATTTAGACATTGAAAAAAGTCGATTTTTTATATTATAATATTTTCTAGGATTCCCCCAGAAGCAGGGTACTGCAATTCCGGGACTCTCCTTAAACGCATCATCGACGAAGGCAGCATCGTGTAGAGCGTCATAATCGTAGTGCCGCAAGATGGGATCGGATCGGATCGGCAACGGAATACATATTATAAATAGCGCCTGGGAAAAAACACTTTGCAGCGGCCACTCATCTGTGCGTATGCGTGTGTGTGTGTGTGTCTGTGTCACGGCATGCACTTGAACTCTGCATTCACATGTTGTGTGTGCAATGCAACCCACTCCCCGTCTCCCTCTGGCACCGCGGCCCTCTCGCTCGCACCCTGGTACTCGTACTATCGCATGCCTGACGTGCCTGCGCCTGGCCCTATATATATTATTGTTGGTCTTTCTGCTGTTTTATTTGGACTTCAAGATGTTTCAGAGTGCACTTCAAGTGCGATACAATTTGTGTCTATTTTTGGCCGCTTGGGAATATCTCGGGGAATACACAGCTATAGCGTGGTCTTGGGGAGGGGCGGAGGGAGGGCAGGGCACAAAATACCCAGATAACGGGGATTTTTATAATGTACATCATTGCCCCGACAACCCCATCCATATCGGTACAAGATGGGGCATAATTGAAACATTTTTAATGAGCAACTTTATAGGCGATTCGGCCCATTGTCCATGGTATTAGATCCGCCGCTAGGGAAACGAAATGTCTGATTGTCGCAGTGATAAGCGCACTGTGGGCCTAGTTCCGTGAGAAAGGCCAAGCGAGATTTCAAGAATCCTTAAAATGTTTATATTTGGTTTTATAAAGTAATGGAAATACTACATGACAATTTAAATGCACTACAATAAATACAACTTACAATGAATTCTGGGCTTAGAAATGTTATAGTTCCGGTGGTATGTGGGTTAAGTTCCATGTATAACGGATTATTACAAACATTTTCCTTATCCTTCATTGAGTACATCCCAATGTGCTTCTAAAGATCCCTTTTTGAACGCCCGTTTTGCGCGTGTGCGACTTCCCCCGCTTCTTAAAGACTCTCCTTAAGTGTGTCTGTTCTACGGTTTCATAAAGATATATATGTATGTTTGTAAGCCCCATTAGCCCAGGATTGTGGACCAAAACGTCTGTTACAAATGTAATTTCGATACTTCACTCGGGGAAGAAATTGAAGCCCTTCACTTGACTCAGATCGGTTGGCTTCACTTGCCTCCTTATCTGTCGTCTGGGCTCCGGGGACAACCCTTAGAGTGACAATTAGCTGTTGGCCTGGGAAAACATTTCCCACAATTTCGGTCGATTGGGGGAATACATGCCCATGGAGGTACGGCAGAGGGATCTTCTGGGGACCCTGTTCGTAGAAGCGAAACCGAAGAGTAGAGCGAACCGAATCGAAGCGAACCCAACAAGTGCAGGTCCCTGAGAGGGTAATAAAAATATGTCTCCCTATCCCACCGTTTGTCCCGGGCTAATCGATACTCGATACGATCCATAATTTATGTGATACGATTCTATTTCTGGACTTCCGCTACTCTCGAATCGAAGTCAATGGGGTTCTACGAAAGCTGCATGCTTGATTTGAAAAACTGGAATCCGATAAGTGATCCGTGTGACCCACTGATACCCTGTTGAATGCCCAACGCGTCGTTGAGCGCGAAAAGCTGAAAAGTTGTCAATGTCACGCGGTGGGGCCCCCCGAAGAGCGCGCCAATTTCCACCGCCCTACGTCCCACTACCACGCATAATTTCCCACGCTCTCAGTGAAAAGTTCGGGGGGGCGGAGGGTTACGTAGAAGGGAGACCCACAAGGGGGAAGCCCTGACAAGTTGTCAGCGCGGCTGTTAATGAGCTGCGTGTGTTGAGTGAAGACGTGATGAATCTACACTACCTAGGCCCACTTGTGGGGCTAGGAACTCGTAAGTAATCCCCAGGTTCTTGAAGATCAGGCGAGATCAAAACAAAGACTTTGATGTTTACAATATCGCGGATCAAAACAAGATCCTATCTAAATTACTACTGTACAAAGCTAAGATCTCGTTTTTACTTCGCCTTGGAAAACTTGAGAGCATAATCTTGAGGGTTAAACACATTTTAAAATCAAAAACCTTTTTTCGTTAAAGAAAATTTATAAATTTTGGATTGGGTGTTTTATTTAAAAAAAAAGCTTTGTTGACCTCGTATCTCAAACTTAACATGATATACGTTTGGATAGTGATGCTTTTAAATTGTATTGCTTGTAAGTCTACAAATAGTAAATAGTAACTATAAGTAAATACACTTGTATTGAAAAGCCATGTAAGCTATAGTTAGAAAAAAGTGGTTAGAGGCAATTTGTAAGTGTGTCAAAACCAGATTATAAATAAATAAATTGCTTGTAAGTAAGTTCTGTATAACCGTCTCGAAGCCCAAGCTTTTATACCTTATCGACAGGGTATAGAGAACATACAAATTTGCGCACGAGCAGAGCAGACAGAGGGAGCAGCGACAACTATGAGATGATCTGGGGATCAGACCAAAGTTCTCTGGCACACAACATGTGTCGATCCCCTGGGACCGCGCCCTGGTCCCCACTGTCATGTGTGGCGTTTAATAGCTTGCCTCAGCAGCTTGCCGCACTCGCGTGCACCATGGTAAGTGAGATTCGAGCGTGGGAAACCCGCGCTTGCCGCAATCTCAAAAAGCCATTTGAAAAGCCCGGGCCTCTGCAAAAGATCAACATAAACAAGGCGATCGGCAATCGGCAGCAACCGAGATACTTCAGCTGGCGCGGAAGCCACCGCAGAAAAGCCAAATAAACAGAAGCCCTCAAAACCACATTCTTCTCATCGTTATCCCCAGCCGAAGCTATATAATAGTCAAATGCAAGGAAAACAAAATATTTTAAAGCTTAAACAATAACATGCATGATAATTTATGCTATATGATATCACATGATAATAAATGTGTTTACCAACCAACCAATAAGTTAGTTAAAATTGATATGATATCCTGCTTCTCGGAATTTTTAAAAAGTCAGCGTGATATAAATTCCAAAACTGAAAGTTTAAACTCATTATACATGTTTTAAAAGCCCAATATTGTCAAATAAGAATTATGTATTGCAGAATTGGTCGCTTGCAAAAATTAAACAGTCTTTCGATTAAAACGGATGTGGACTTCTCCATTTTCCTGCCGCTTAAGTAATCAAAAGTCGGCTACAAATTTTGCTATTGACACTTTTTCCTCAATGAAGCACGCATCTGCAGACTTTGGATCAGTCGTCTCGTCGCTGCTTTGATTGCAGAAGCGGTCGGAAATCGGAGACGGGTAGTGCAAAAAGTATAAGTAAGTTCATGACGACTAATAAATACCTCGCAGCAAATAATACACGTTTGACTGAACTCTGGAGTCAACAAGATTGGCTTTTTTCAAACGGGAGAAATTGAAATGCTTTCTACGAAGACTTACAACTGAACTAAGCAATAGAGAAGGAATTGCTGAGCTACTAAGAGAATAAAAAAAAACTCATGAGCTAAACATATTTAAATTATTCAACGTTTCCTAAGCTCTGTGTATTAAATATAGGATGATACAATTTGTACACAGTATAGATTATTGAATAGAGAACAATTCTGCATTAATAAATCACAAATCGTATTTTTCGACATATGTCGCTTTCAGTAAATGAGAATTATGTGATGAGCTCAGATTTGTTAAAGTCAATATACCCAGAACTCTGTTTCTGAGGGTATATCCAAGCTGGCGCTGCTGCTCCAATTCGCTGTGCCATTCAGTCGCTCAAGACCCGGTGGAGTAGCTGGGCAAGGCTTACGATGTCGAGTCCCAAGGAGCACGAGTCCCATGGACCGAAGACGGGTGCCATGTCCAGGACTCAGCAGTATCGCAAGGTGCTGAAGCCACTGCTGGAGAGGAAGAGAAGGGCTCGCATCAACCGCTGCGTCGAGGATCTGAAGAACCTGCTCATGGAGGTGATCCATATGGTAAGCGGTGTTGGCAAACCCTGTCTTCCGCACATTATAACTTGGCGTAGGCTTATCGGATCGATACCTACTCAGATCAGATACATTTTTGTGAAATTTTGGGGGTATTATTTTTGGTGACCAGATAATAAACCCTTTAACTCTTGGGAGTTGAAGCTTGTCAAGTTCTATTGTATTTCGATTTAAGGTTTTATTTTCTTCTGCTTGACCTTCAGGACTCTGAAGCCATGGCCAGAATGGAGAAGGCTGACATCCTGGAGCTGACCGTTCATCACCTGCACAGGCAGCGCCCTTCTGCGGCCACGCCCACCACGACCAATACGCCCTCTGTCTGCGAACCTCTGAACGAGCAAATAGCCACAGAGCGATACTGGAGCGGTTTTCGGCAGTGCGTCCTGGAAGTGTCCCGCTTTTTGCAGCGCAACAACTGCCAGCTGAACTCCAAGTTCGTTGAGGAAATGGAGCAGCTTGTGCCCTTCGAACAACTCTTCTGGCGGCCTTGGTAGCCATTGCGGGTACTTTCCGCAGAAGTTCCTTACCTCACCATTTTACAATGGACCTAACCACATGTTTGCTCTGGTCTAGTTAAGTTAATATTTAGTTTAGCAAGTAGCTCTACAATCCTCAATATGCACTTTAGTCAGATTCCCTAAAGGGGACATTAAATAAAACTTCAAAATCGATTTCTTCTGCTTTTAGTTGTTCTTTTTCTTTTCGCAATAATTCCAAAAACTTGTTAGTTATGTGTATGTGTGTGTGTAGAATGTAGAATGTATAATGTAGAATGTAGAATGTGTAGTGAGAATGCGTTGCCGCTTGGGATTTTATTTATTTGTTAAGAATCGATTTAAGTGTTAATAAACATTGCTTAATGCATTCGAATGCTAAATTAAGTATTGCTTATGTTGAATATAATGCACACAAAGTAAGGTTTTCATCTGTTATCAGTATCGTTAACGTTAACAATGTAGTAGCTTACTAGATACCCAAAAAAATACATATCAATAGAGTAGTCGACAAAAGTGGTTTTTGAGATTATCCTTAAGCTTTCTATTAGCTTTTATAGCAATACGTGTGAGTGTCTGGCCGTGAGAATGTCGTTTTCTTAGAGCCTAGGTTGGATTTATGTCGGGGTTCTCAAACTTTACGCCGCTCTATGTACAAATATGTAGCTCACAATAATTTAGAGTTTGAGTGTAAGAAGCGCGAAAATTGATTGTTGCTGCAGTTTGTTTTAGTTTGGTTTTCCATCGACCTGTTGATTTGTATCTGTTGCATATATGTATAGGTATATTCATAGTTTCGTATATATAGATATCGATATCTTCTCAGCTTCGCTTGCTTTATTTTTGGTTTTTTTTTCGAGGACAGGAAGGCATGCAAACTTGTGCAGTGTAGGTGTGAGTGTCTTCTTAAATTCAAATCGTTACCAACAATAAATCTATGCAAAAACAATTTGCAAATTGCACAAGTAAAATACAAATGGGGACTTCTATATAATAATAGATGTATATATAATTATCAATATCTGTGTGTGTATATATATATTTATATATATATTTCTCTTCCTATATATATAAGTGTGTATATCAATTTATTTGGCCATTATCTAGGTATATTTAAATACGAGTGTACAACTATAAATATGTTTCGGGTGCTGGGCAAACAAAAAAATATGTGGGAAACCTCGGAATCGGATTTGGAATCGGAATTTTGGTGTCAGAGAGGATGAGACAAGCATTATCTAGGGCCGATCCAATCTGAAACCTCAGCGACAAGCAAACGTCTTCAGTTAGCAAATTTGGTAGATTTTGGGGATTTCTAAGCAGGAAGCAGAATTTATAGCTAACCCAAGGAGTTTTCTACAGGGCAACCATAATTGGGGAATAATGCTTATGAGAGCGAGGGATAGACAGGGATAGTTGGATATGGGTTCTTATAAACGTGTTCAGTTAACTGGCTACAGAGAAAGTATCTTTACAATCAATTTTCGTTTACGATCTAAAGCTGAACCACATATAAAATATAGAAATTATTTTAGCCTGGTGATTAGATGGCTCTTCTTTCGAAATAGAAGAAGAAGCAGCTCATCAAACGAAAGAGAACCAAAAGGAAAATCGTGTGTGTGTATCAGAGAGAGATGGAGCGATAGAGAGAGATAGAGAGTGAGTCGATGATGGGGCGATAGTTGTAGTTTGTTTGTTTATAAGGCATTAGAGGGGTTCTCCCCCATACGATATACTTTCAAGCTCTGGTGAGGTGTAAAAACAAGTACAAATACAAGTAGAAATACACAATTTGATATTATCGTTGCTCTGATAAGGCATGCACAATAAACACATAGAAAAGGGTTCAAGTTCTATCAAAGATTCTTCTAAGAGTGGACTCCTCTGGTCCTTCACATGATTAAATCTTTAGGTGACAGAGTGAGGTGGACCATTACATGGTCCACTGCAAAAACAAGTTGATTGTCAAGCTCAATGGGGGAAGAGTGAGGGATGTAGACTGAAGACTGAAGAATGAAGAATCGGAGGAGCCAAGAGGAGCACTTAAGCCGCATGCTGGTTATCGCTAGGTTATCCACATGCAAGTGTGTCCACAACTTTTCGGCCCCCTCTGAGGGGCATTTCTAGGTTATAGGGCTATCTGGGTTATCTGGTTAGCTAGAGAGTAAATAGATCTGTGTGTGAGTGTGTGGAGTCTTTAGCGTAGTTTAAGCTTTTTTCGATTATCAACACGTTCGATTATCAACAGTTTGAACAGCTGGCCCGGCAAAATTAATCGATCGACGGGGCGTCTAAGCCAATAGCGAATTGGTATCGGATAAGTATCCGTATATATGCATGTTTAAGTATAAGTACCAGCTTAGTCGGCGCTGCACTAAGTATTATCCATATTTAGGTAGATTAGCTGTAGCCTCACATGACTCTGATTATTGGTTTTCGCAAAAAATTCCAACTATGCACTGGCCTAATTAATCGGCTATCGCTATCGCTTGGCTGGTGGTACTTATCAATAGTTGTTAATTCGAATTTATCGTTTGCTTGGCAAGCATTTCAATAAAAATGCCTAAGATCATTATGGAGCAAGTGCCTAATAGTTAATTTAAGTAGGTTTTCTTTTATTTAATCCCTATATGTATCCATACTTGCTGCACACACATAAATATATATTCAATATTTTTTAAAAAAGCGTTTCTTTGACTTAAATTGGTGTTCTTTTTGTTTTCATTTAGCTTGCGAATTTTTTGAACCATTTTTGTTTTTTTTGTTTAGCTTTATGCGGCTTGGCTGTTGTTAATTGAAAGTTTATGTATATGTATATGCGTAAATAATTTGCTATTATTTGGAATTTCACTTAAGACGAGTTTTCAAGGGGCTAACTTTTTTTGTTTGTGTGTATGTGTGTGTGTGGGGGGGAGGGGGAGCGGGAGGATGGGGGCCAACGAAGTGCCTCCCAAAAGGTCAAATGGCATGTGGGACACGGGTGTGTGGGCGTGCTTGTAGGGGCGTGCTTGTGGGGCGACCTTTGACCCTTCGGATCGTTGACTCGCTGTCTCCTATCACCGTCACTATCGCTCCCTCCCCGCCCCTCCTCCGCGCAACTACAGGTCCCGCGGTTAATCACCACCTAAACTTAACGCCTGCACTATACGTGGATCAGCTTTACTGCCCTCGCGGAACTCCTCGAGCGTCAGGCGATCATCGTGGTTCTTGTCCATCTGATCGAAGATCTTGTCAACCCGCTTCTGCGGCGTGTTCTCGTCCTCCGTCTGCTGCTGCTGGCCCTGCAAGCGAGTGTTTACTGTAGTTCCAAGGACAGTTTAATTAGTGCAGCGATACTTACTACCATCTGGTAGATGGCGTCCACTATGTTGTACATCTCCTCGCGGGTTATGTAGCCATCGTTGTCCACATCGTACAATCGGAAGGCCCCTGTTGTTGAATAAATGATATTAGTGATCGAATTCTTCAGGATCAGGCGGATCATAGCTCATAATATTAAACAAAAGTATTGCTAATCGGCAATATAATGTTATCATGCCCTTACAGAAGCTGGATCAACAATATAAATGACGATTTAAATGTATTATGCAATCAAGTAAATATAAATAAAAGATTCCAGGCCCTTAGCTGATCAAGCTTAGTAATGCAAGACCATAGGTCTATGCTATAAAGGCTAATAATCATCCACTTACAGTGCAACTTCTCATGCATCATCATACACCATAAAGGCTAATAATCATCTACTTACAGTGCAGCTTCTCATCCAGATTGCCGCGTGATGTTATGGACAGGGCCCGAATAAACTCCTCGAACTCAATGGCGCCATCCTGCGGATTCGCAGAGATACGGATAAGATATATAATCGAACGTCACCATGTCACCGTACTCACATTATTCTCATCGAAGACACGGAAGACCAGGGAGGCAAATTTGCTGGGGTCTCCGTCGGGGAAGAATTGCTTATAGATTTTGATGAAGCCCTGCGGGGAGAGAGAGCGAGAGGGCACGAGAAACAGACAGAGAGGGGAGATGGCAGAGGAGAGAGCGGTTAGACAAGTAAATGTTTGCTATTGCCGGCGAGTTTGCTATTGGGGTTCGGTGGAGTTGAGTAAGCAAGTCAGAACTAGACACATAAAATAGCATTAGAGTGAAATTTCGAAATTCTCCAGTTAAGTGAAATAAACGACTCGCACGGATGGGTGGGTGGCTTTTGGTTATGGGTGGTGCTACGGTATGCTGTCGCATATATGTGATATGTAAGTGTAAGCTTGGCAAACGGAAATTTATGTTGCAACTACTCCTCGGGACGAGAATGCAGTTTATTTGCTGGCGTTGCAGCTGTGAATCGAAATACTTGAAAATGTCAAATCGATGAATGGATTACCCCGCTCCGAAGTCCGATGTCCCAAGTCCGACTTCCGGACACATGTATGGTATGTATGGTGCAACTTGTATTTATTTTATTCATGCCGCAAAAGTCAGCCACAAAAAAGGCACCGAACGTTGAAAGTAAGGACAAACCGCATTTCGGGACTTCGGGGCGGTGTGTGGCTTAAATATAAATGTGTGTAAATTGTGTATATATGTGCATATATGCCGTTTTCCGGGGATGACCCGAAATAAGAGGATTCCGTTTGTGGTCGGTTATGATGAAAGCCGGGGAAATGATGCTGATGATGATGATGGGGGGGTACTCACTTGTTCGGTCAGCAAGCCATTCGGACAGTCTTTGAGAAAGCCCTTGTGCCTTCGGTGTGTCAGAGGTCAGAGATCGGGATAGCGGATAGCATAGCGCACAGAGTTCACAGGAAGAGACAGCGGGTGTATAGAGAGACGGGGCGAGATAAATAGATTAGCATAGGGGAGAGAGGGGGACAGAGAGGCCACCAGAAATAATATAGATCAAAAATTAAATTAAAAACCAATAATTGTGGCAACACACAACAAATGAAAGATAAATATTGGCCCCGGAAAATGTTTACCTCCGGGAAAACTCGCCCACGCGCACGCACGTTTTTGCATTTTAAATGCTATTTACAATTTATTCCGTGCCGCCATTAATTTCAACTTTCCCATTTTCCCAGTGCAACCGCAGACAGCAAGATCAAATTTGCTGCAGTTCCACCATTAATTATGGCCGATGCACAAACGCATCGGAAAGCGAGGCATTTAAGTCCAGGGCGCGTAATCGAATCGAAAGAGAAATTGAAAACGCCCGTACACAAAGGAAAAACCGCCCAACGGAAAAAAAACAGGGAACGGGAAATGGAGAGGGGGTTTTCTGGTGTGAAAAATCCATGAAAATGCTTACCATTGACGAATTTCCTTTTCAGTGACTGCAACGAGAGGGAAGGGGAGAATTTCCAGATTAGTAGAGCAATTGCAGAGCGAACAATGAAGCAGCGGGCTAAGCGGCCGCACTTAGTTGCGCCTCAAGGGTCCCGAGGCTATCATTCTTAATATCAACATCAACCCGACAGCCCCCTATCAATACCCCCATCGCCAGCCCAAGCCAGCCCAAACCAGCCCAAGCCATCCCTCTTACCCAGCACTCAAGTGCCTTTGCTGAGCCGCTGAGTTATGGCGGCTTAAGTTGCTCTAAGGCTAGACTGCCCTCGGAGATTGATGGCGTTCACTTGACAGGCTTAGCGGACGCGTCCTTCGTCCTCCTGCCCTCCACATCCACATCCGCATCCGCATCCACACCCGTATCTGTGTATCTGTATCCCTTGCTGATGCTGCTGATATCCGCGCCACACTGCGTATGAGTAATATGCAGGCGCAATTTACGAGCAGCGATAGCGAAGTGCATCCATGCCTTGCTGAGTGCACAACTCATTTAATAAATCATTTAATTAATTACAGCCTTTCAGGGTTACCTTTACACGGCGGAAAATGAAGGAAGCCATGTCAAACGGAACTATTTCGTAAACTAATGCAGTAATTTCCAAGTCTTTTGTGTTAATGTGCGCAATAAATGGGAAATTTAGGGAATCAAGTATGATTATTAAGCATATTTGTTATATTAATTATTAGAATTTCAGGTAACTTTGCTTGTTTTCCCCGTGCAGCCCATAATTATAGCAGACTTCCAGGCACGTGTTTAGCCAATAGGCGGAGAAGTGGGCCCAAAGCACTTTGAAAATGAAAAACAAAACGGCACAGAGCTGCTGATGATGATGGAGTTGAACAAGGCTGGGTTGGGCAGTGCCCTTCGACCTCCCAGCCGGATATGGGCACGCGTTTGGGCGCCAAATTCAACTTCAGCTGCTGCACGCAATTGAAATTGGCCGCAACCTAGGCCCATCACATTTGCAATATACAGTATGCGCACATCTAGATACGTGTGTATCTGTATCTGAATGAGCCACAGATTGCCCCGCAGGCTGGTTAAAAGTCTGCGCACGCCAACGCGTCGGCTAAGTAAGCTCCAAGGAGCGTTATCCTTGTCGCTGTCGATGTCGGCCGAAGACTTTTACTGCGGCTACATGAATAATACATATCGCCGGCTGATGGTGCTGGTGTTTGTGTTGCGCCGGCAGCTGTAAAGCAAATTAGTACATAGTCCTCCTTGCCAGGACAGCCAGGACAGCCAGGACGACCGGGGTTGTCGGGGCTGCCGGGACTGGCAAAAATATTTCGATTTAAATGTTTATTTGCACAGGGCGGCGCTTTTTCCAGCAAGCTGTTTGTGGCCCGCAGCGTTTATTCAATCTTTCTCTGTTTTTTTTTTCGGCCGCACAAAAAGAGCCCAAAATGCCGCCAGTTTGGCCTTTTTGTATTTACTTAATTTAATTTTTAAACTGATTTAATTTCAACTTTTCATACACACACACTCGCTTTGAGGGGTGGTGACACAGCAAGGACCTCCTGCTGGGTGTGGCCACATGCTAATTAATGAATGGCTGGCAAAGCCCTCTGACCCCCTGTACCCCTTCCATTCCGCACTCCTCGAAAAAGAAAAGTGGTAAAACGAGAAGTGAACTTTAAATGAGCTGCGAGCTGCATGCGGGCCATACACACATCGCACTCACACTCGCACACAAGAGGGCACAAGGACTGTGTGCGTGTTTTTTGGCCACCAACTCGACAGCCTTGCAGCCAGCTCCGCAGGATGTGCGTCGTCCCCAGTTCGGCTCAAATATTTACCAAACTTGATTAGATCCCAGCTACTGCGAGGCGGGGCAACAAGTGACCTCGCCATACTCGGCTTAACCCTGAGCACAGCCACATCGCATGTCTGCGGTTAACCCCTTGGTGGCCTTGCACGCAACTGAAACGCAACCGCTCACCTGGGGCGGGGTTACGCCCCCATTCCCATTTCCATTCCTCCATTTCCAAGCCCCTTTGTCCCAGGCTCATGCTCATAGTGATAGTCGTAGTCATAATCGTAGTCATAGTCATACACACCCAGCGCATGGACAAATTGCCTGGCAACTGGTGAGCAGCCAGCAACTAGACTAGACGCAGATTCTATCTGAAATTGGTTCTCGGAACACGGCCCAGATGCCGGTGCATTCACCCACTAATTAATCATGATCATATCTAAAATTAATTCTATTCCACTTATGTATGCGTATGCATATGTGCTACACAGCGCAAAACGGTCTGCGAATTAACTATCCCCAATTATGTAGCTATTCTTTAAAGTTTGTATTCTGTATTCTTTAAAGTGGTAAGGACTTTTTAAGAATCGTTTGGGTCTATCAGATTCATTCAGATAATTGGGGATGGTGCAGAAATCACTGGGGATTTATAAAGGTGTCTTAAAGTATGCTGGGAACTAAATACGTTCATATATTGTTGCATACTTTTGGATGCCTTTATAAGTGAATTCAAAACCAAGGAGATTTCTAGCTAATCGTCAAGGTCTTTAAGCATCGTCAACTTACTTCAGCAACGCCATCCAGTTCCTAACTGTTTTTAGTTCAGTTTCATTCACCAACTAATTAATCATGGTCTTATCTAAAAATTAATTCTTTGAATTCTGCATGTATGCATATGCAACGCAAAACTGTCTATAAATAACCTATCACAATTCAGAACCTATGCTTTAAAGTCTGTATAAAAGTGGTTTGCATTTTTAAAGGGTCGTTTGGGTGTATCAGATTCATTCAGATAATAGGGGATGGCGCAGAAATCATTGGGGTGTTATTAAGGTGTCTTAAACTATGCAGTGAACCGTGCTAACATATATTGTTGCATACTTTTGGATGCCTTTAAAAGTGATTTTAAAACCAAGCCAATCGTCTAGGCCTCTAAGCATTCTTAACTTATTTCAGCAACCCCTTCTCGTTCCTAACTGATTGAGTTTGCTCTTTTGTTCTAATTGCCTGCTGCAATGAAACCCGATCGTATGGCATATTAGCAGTTCAGTTTCCATTGATTCGATTCATTGCCGAGATTGAGTTTGCCTGCGATTCCGCACTCATTGTTCTTGCCATGCTGAAACTGAAACGGCGCTGCCAGTTGGAGTTGACTCAAAGCACATCATAATTTCCCATCGATTGGCAATTTTCTAATGTCGTTATATGGCAATGCGCCCAGTTTCAGTTCCAGGTCCCCTACCCAGTACCCCCGCTGTTTCCCTGGCGAATCGCTTTCTGTTTGTTGCTTTATCAATTTGCGTCTATAAACGAGCAGCAGCCAGGGAATGCCAGCAACAGAATGGAACCGAACAGAACTGAACCGACTAACTGAGTCAATGAATGGACGACTGATGCGATAGGGCGGGGGTCCCGGTGCAGAAGGGGTTGGGAAAGGGTGCAGGAGTTTGGCTGGGGGGTGGTTGGGTGAAAGGGTGCCCACTGCCGGCGCCATTAGCAAATTATACACAACATGTGTGCACAGTGGGGCAGGACGGCAAGGACCAACATAACAGGAAATGGAGACTCCTCGGGCTTAGCTCACTTGCACAACCCTCCGATCGACTTTTGATTTCTTTTCTTACACTCAGAGTAACTACGATAAGTTGTTAAATATATTTGTAAAAAGTACATTTTTTAGGCCAAGGCCACTTACTTAACGCATTTTTAAACTGTTAAGTGTTAGCTTAGTTGGGATTAATTAAATTTGTTTCAGCAGAGTTCCACGCTCACTCTAACGCCCATTTCGCTAATACTTTGTAACAGTGTAAATGGGATTTTGTTTTGATTATCAATACCCGTCTACATGCCAAAAATGGTTCAAATCGGACCATTCATTTAGCAAATAAAGTGTGCAATCTCGGAAACAGCCAATTTGCTGCATGCATGTCTCCATCTCCCTCGCACTCTCCTGAGTAACTGGCTATAATAGTCGAAGCCGGCGACTATAGCGTTCTTTCTTGTTTTAAGATCACAGAGGCAGAAGTTTAAAACTCATATGATCTACCATTCATTAGGTACTTTTAGGATCAGAAACGAGTTGCAATATTTTCCAACAATTTTTGGAAAGAAACAAAAAATATCTTTAAGAGAGTTACACCTTGCTTAACTGCGGCAAAACGAACTAATAGCTCTGAGTCACCAATAAGTGTATACAGTGTATTAGGATCCTGGACCTATGGCAGGACTTTTTCTCCCAGTGCAACGCCCCCTTGGCTCCGGCTGTTCGGCTGTGTTCTGTTCTGTTCTGCTTTGCTTGTTGCTCGTACACATTTGATTTCCACTGCTAAATGCCCGACAAAATGTCAGGACGAGCTGAGTGCTCCCTTAACCAGCCGCCCACTCAGTGGAGTCCCATCCAGAGGGGGGAAAGGGGTGGAGAGAACAGGGAACACAACAAGTGCAATAATAATTTCAACATTGAAGTGAATTTTGAGTGCCAGCCAATGCGTGCGAAATCAGCTGGGAGGAGCCATCAGGGCGGATGAGAATGCGGAAAGGGGTTGGGTAGTGGGTGTTGCAGGACATGGCATCTTTTCCCAATCCTCGACAGCGACTGCGATGTCTGTTTGCATAGCGAAATGCATGTGCCAAAGCCAAATGAATGCGGTTCCGAATGCTATTGCAATATGACATTGCTGCAGCGTGTCGTAAGCCAGGGGTGTGGTTCGGAGGGGGGTGTTGGGGTTTCTTGTCCCCTGTCCCTTGGCAAGGGTCGTGCATTTTAGTTTTATAAGCGATTTGGCCCCGAGTCCCGGCATTCCGAAAACCCCCATTCTGCGACTGTTTGTCGAAGCGTAAAACAAACAGAAATTGACATGAAAGCCATGCATTCTGGGGGAAGGGGATAAGAAGGGGTTAGGAAGGGGTAGGGAAGGGGTAGGGAAGTGGATAGGAATGGGTAAGGAAGGGGTATGGACCCTAAGGGTGAAAAAAAGGGTGCAGGCATGTGGTGAGCTAAGGGGCGGCGAAAAGTAATCAAATGTTGCACACATTTCAACTTGTTATTCTTTCGCCCGCCATTCACTGAGCTATTGCACTCTAATGCGTCCTTTATTGGGTTGCCAGACCCAGTCCCCTAAGCTCCTCTTTGTTTTCTATCTCTTTCAGACCTTTCAATTACGATTTTTATGGCTGAACCATAAAAGTTGAGTCAAAAGTATAATTAAAATTTGGTTCAAAAACTAAGTGATTGCCTGTGCGTTAAGACAATCCATAGATGATAAATGTAGCCCCTTTGCTATTTGACAGAGTTGAGATTTGTTGAACTAATAAATTCAACTAATAAGCTCATTAGTGTGCCAATTCGAAGCTAATGAGTTAGGTGTATAATTGTTTGACCAGTGCGTACATTTCGTACACTTAAAACCCACTAATGAACCGCCTAATAGCCAAACGACTCAATGCCCCTCAATTTATGGCAATGAAATAGAGCCTTATCTAACCGCTAATCGGAAACTAAGCCGTTCAATAAAGTTTCGTGCAGTATCAAGACCCGACAGAGGCGGTTTAAGCCAGCCACTTTAAACTTACATATGCCAGTGCAATTGAAGGAAGGAATAAAGGAAGGGCGGCAAAAGTATTGCCTACTTATGGGGGCACTCGAGGCAATAAACAATAAAAGAAAACTCTTAAAGCCCATATAGCCGGGCGCTTAAACTGCAATCGAAGCGCAATGGGCCAATGGAGAAGCCTTCGGTGGAGGACCCTCCGATGCAGGTCTCACTCCAGGACTCACACACACAGTGGTTGTCCCCCCAGGGCGTTCTGGCATGTGCAACTATTAGAAAATATAAAACTGTGCGCTCCGTCGTACGGCGGGGCTCCGCATACACACGCATGCGGATGTCCAAGAGAAATTACATAAAAAATTAAATGGAACACAAGCCTTGGGGGCCATGCCCCGCAAAAGGCAACGGAATCGAAGAGTGTTCAACGACCAACGTCCATGCGGCCTGGAGCCAACCAATTTTGCTGCATTTTGTGGCAACTAAACAAATTAGAAAGTTCGCAGTCCTCCCATCGCAGGGCCCAAAATTGGTGGTACTTTAATGACAGCTGAATTGTTCTGTCTCAATCGAACCACATTAAGTGCTTTTCTTGGCAGCTTTTGTTGGATGTTATATTGGTTTTTTAATAACCCTTCATAAAATCATACGAATGTATACCAATGAGCTTGGGGATTGCATTTGACTATCAACAAAAAGGCGATTTAAATTATTATGCGTTGATTTTAAAGCGTGATCATAGGCTTTTCCCTGCTCTTATAGGTTCATATTTAACCACCGTCGAGGATTTGCTGGCCATCCACAGCTAAGTGAAATGGAATTTGCTGACCAAATCCCGGGAATAATGAATGGCCAGTGGCGGGAAAAATGAGGCGTTCAAAAGGACGGCGCTTTTCCCGAGAACAGCAGGAACTTTTCCACTGATATATGATGGCCGTGGCGCTGTGGGCATGGGGACATTACCGGAGCTGCCAAAAAGGCTTTCAGGCAACGCCACCGGACGACTCGTAACTCATTCCGGGGAGTTCAAGGCTGCCAACGCATATGCACCCGGGATCCGAGGTCTGAGGTCCGTGATTTGTCGCCGGAATACGCAGCCAGAGATATATGGCAGATGGAGATGTTTGTATGGCAGTACTCACAGTATGTGTCTGTTGTCAGCCGATCGATGGTGTCCTGCTTCAACTTCGAGTTCTTCTTGCCCATGGTGAAGGTTCCTCCTGTTTGCGATGACGATACTGTCGAAGCTCCTCCTCTTCTTTGGGCCTCTCTGGTTTCGCTGGCTGACTGGCCAAGTGGGTCAGTGACAGGTAATTGGGGGAGCGTGTCTTATCCCAAATCGGCCTCAGTTCGATCTGCAAGTACACTGGTAGAAAAAACACGAAGTGAAATCAAACATATTTTTATTTGATTTTTTTTACTCCCATGCATAGTCATATTAAATATTAAAACCTTTAATTTAAATAAAAAACATATTTAAGCCGTATGTCAAATATGTAAGTATTCAATTCAAAGTGATTTTTATTTAAAAACAAGTTAGTCACATTCAAATCCAATGTGGCCATCTTGGTTTTAACTATTATAAAAAGTAGTTCAATTCATAGTATATTTGATGGTTTTTTATATTTCGAGTAAATACTTTTTCCATTTCTTCGGAATATGAACTCTTTTATTTTGAATATAGAACGTTTTCAAAATTTGTATTTGACCAAATAATTGTAAATTATAAATCAAATTACATATCTATGTATACATATGTATTAAGTTTGTGACCCATATACACAACATAATTTAAATTATTAGTAATTTGCAAAAGAAAAACAGCTTTAATATTTAAAGAAAATGGTTTTAGTTACGGCTGCCCAACCACCGGCAGCCTCTTTCTATTTCCATGACAAATATCATAAGATTTGGCTTTGTAATTTACTATTAAAATTACAAAAACATGCTTAGCCGAAGAAAAAATGTGCGTGCATTGTAAACGCTGGGCCGTAACGAAAAACTAAAACTAACGGCACAATGTGCATACTTACATACATTCAGACAAATTAGAGACAAATATGAACAAGCAAAACGGCAAACGCAAGCGCGTCTTCTTCTTCCATTCGCATTTGTACATTGGTGGCCAAGAAAATATGTATGTGCAGAAGCCATAAATATTTCTTGTGTACCGATGTTTTAACAATAAGATATGTTCTTATAATATATAAATATAATAAAATAAAATAAATAATACTAAATTGACATATACAAGTTATTAAACTTAAGGACTTATTTGTACATATTTACTTATTTTCTTCCCCATTACTTTGACCTCTATTGTAAAGTAACGGCACGCTACAGATTTTGTGCGTCCTTTTTGCACACTTGCATATGTATGTACATATGTATATACGAAATATTTTGACACTCCGCTTTGTAGCGAATCCCGCGATCATTTCGAAGCAAGCGGTTCTCCTGATCGGATGTAAAAGTGATTAATAGAGCTCGGTAGACAAGTGTTCATTTAAGTGTAATAAAAAAGTGAAAAGTATAGAAAAAAGGTGAGTCAAATAAAAATACAATAATTACTTAGTATTAAGGCATGTGCATGTCCACGTTTTTTTTGTCGCATTTTTCCTTTTTGAGTTTCTTCTTTGTTGTGCGCGTTATTATTTCGTGAAAATTTAGATAATACATTTAACGAAATAAACAAAGCTCAAAAGAAAATTACATTTAAAAACAATAAAATATATGCGATTGGGTAATAAACATGAAGTGGATAAAAAATACGCGAAAGAAATGAAGAATATGAAAGGAAATTAAAAGGAGTAGAATGCACGAGATGGAAAACACTAAAAAGGCGCAAAAAAAGACGCTTTGCTGCCGTTGCATTCGGTTCTGTGGCGTCGCAGTAGTTTCATCTATTTCTTTATAATATTTTTTGGTTCTTTCACGTGATTTTTTGAAATAAAAACGAAATAAATTTAAACAATATTTTTGTCTTATTTAAATCCCTTTATATAAAAACACCTACTCGAAACTTATTATAAAACTTATTAACTTTTTCTTTATAGATACAAATTTATTTCAACATATTGTACCCTGAGAAAGAAGCAATTTGATATATGGGACCCATTTAAGGAAAAGGTTTTTTGCTTTTACGAAGAGCAAATGCAAAACAAAAAGCAACTTAAACTATTAAAGACAGTTCAGAAAACTGTATCACTTGGTAATGTATAATTTTTTTTTAAATTTATAAATTTTATCTTTTTATGATAAGCTTGACTTTTTCTAAATTATGCCATTACCAAAAATCTAATAACATATTCTTATTCACAGATTACAAGGACTAAATTTACACCGTATTGCTCACATCTGTCATCTTAAATAATTCGTGGACCGTCATTAAAGGAACCAACAAGCGAAAGAAATTATCACTACTATGACTCGCAGGAAAGTTTTGTACGCACATGCAGGCGTACGAACGTGGCAAAACAGAAAAAATGTGTGATTATAAAAAATATGTATAATAATATATATAATAGTATAATAGTATAATAATAGTATAATATGTATAATAATGTATAATATGTATATGTATATATGTATCATATAAATTCTAAGAGTTACGTTAAGTACAAATGTATTTAAAACAAAAGTAATGATAACGTGTTAGCATGGTAAAAATAGAGTTTAAGCAGAACAATTGTTTGATTATATGTTTACGTTTATTTTCAATAAAAACACATACTTATTTGGTTCTTTATTAAATATAAATCACGCTTGTTTTAAACTACAGATTGGTTTCTATTGAATATGCACCATATTAGTATGGCTTAAATACTATATTTAAATCAAACATAAAGTACAGTTCTTTTAACGGGGACTATATTTAATTTAAATACAATTTGTATTTATATTAAAGTTCATCCCAGTCTGATTTAAATATGAGAATTATTTAATCCAAATAAAAATATGCTGAGTTTTAAGGCGGGCTATTATTATTTTAACTATAAAAACTATTCAAATGAAATATTCTATTTACTGGAACTAAATATGAAAATATTTAAAAGAAATATAAAAATATAATACTTTTTACTATGGAACATATTTAATTTAATTATTTTGTACTATTTTAACATATTTGATCGAAATTAAAAAATCGTTGAACTTACTACGAGATTATTCAAAAAATAATTAACTATTTAACGTTTTCGTTTTTACGATTTTCATGTTAGGTTCTAAACCGCTGGGAAAAATAGTTGAAACGTTGGCGAAATAGTGACATTTACGATGTTTTTTCTACCAGTGTACAAGTGGCAGCAGATTAAAGATAGTCATCCCTAGGCAGAGTGCCCGAAAACTGCACATTGTCAAGGCGAAAGCGTGGCTCATCGCCTGCACAAAAAAAAACCATGATACAATTATTAGGCATTATTTTTACCACTGAATAATGTAAATTTGACATGGTATTCCCCTGATATCAAAAAAGATAGAAAAGAGCGGGGTAGCGCCTAAAATTCCTCTCTGTTAGAGCGAGACAGCAGTATTCGAAACTCTCCCAAATAAAAAAAGAGAGCAAAAAGCAAGATGGCGAACAAGCCATAGTGATACGCTCCGTATCTACATAGAACTGAAATAGAATATTATCAAAATTATCACCAAATCTTAGCAAATTTTTTCTCAGTGTGGACCTGAGCCTGTACCTGCCATCCTGATGAACCGTTGCCCCCCAGGCGAAGGGTACTTTGATATTTAAGCACGTCAACGCTGGCTTTTTGTGTGGGCCAGCAGGACTAGCGCAGGACCTCCCACACCCCTTACTCTACCACCCATAAACCACCTCGAACATCACCGAAAACAAGGCAAGGAACAACCGCAACGACAACAGCAGCCGCAGCACAATGAGGGGGTGGCAAACTGTCCTTCAGGTCCTCCAGGTCCTCCAAGTCCTTTACTGCCCCGATCCCCCATCCGTCAGTGCGTCATTCAACTCAACTAAACTCAGTTGAGCCGAAACTTACGGCCGGGTACAGGCTGCCCTTATCGGACGGTTCGCCTACAATTTCGGCCAATTTCAACCAAATTCCTCATTTCCATAGACCAAAATAGCACTTCATTTTGGCAATATTGTTTCCTACTCTAAATGCAATGTCCGCAATTTGTGTAAAATGGTATTCATTCGGGGATATGTTTAAGTTCCTTTTTTTCCTCCTGCCAGTTCACATCAAGTTACCATGAACATTTCCCAAATGTTTTCGTATCACCTTTTTAGAATTTTTCCTTGATCTTAGCCCTTATTTTTAACTATTACAACTTTATTAAAAGAATTATTATTATTAGTTATTTTAAAAAAGGACTTTTCTCAATTCATACAATTTTATATAACACTTTTTTGAGTGTTGATATTGAAAATAAATATTTTCTTTTAAGTAACACTGTAACCATTATTCAAAGCCTACTACACCGAAAAAATAGTCATCGAAAAGCAACCACTTTAACATAAATTCTACACTATTGAGTATGGATTTGAGTGTTAAATTAACACTTTCCAAAGTATTAAATTGAAATTAGTTGGGGTTAAAAATAACACCACAAATCCCAATTCTAGACTCTTTAATATAGGAACGAAACTATAAAGTTCATTCTTGAATCTGTAGTGCCTCTGGTATATTTTAAATACAACCGGTACTAAATCTTAACCTTATATATTTTTTTATGTGTATCAAAGTGCAGGGTATTCCGACGGATGTCCTTAAAATCTCGGAAAACCCCCTGTTTGCTTTACCTTTTGCAGTTTTGTGTAACGTCAACCATGACGACAATGGCAGCGACGACACAGCGATGTCTACAAGTTTCCCCCGTAGAGTTGCGTAATTAAAATTTTAATAATTTCCCAGGCAAGTTTTCCCACTCCCTTTCGATGCCCCGGTGAGCGGAGTGAAAACTTTTTTAATTCTTTGTTGCCACTTGACAAGCAAATTGCGTGAGACTTTAATTGACTTTGAATTGGCAATGGAAGCGGCAAAACCGGAAGCCCCTCACGTGTGAGCCATAATAATAATTTATGGGCCCCAACAACAGAGGCCCTAATTAGAGGCGCTCGAGTCCTCGAAGAAATCATGACAAATTAGACAGAAACTTGCATAACGCAATCGTAAAAGATCTGACTGTCTGTCTGCCCGGCCATTTTCATATTTCATTTTACGAGTTGCGGACAAATTTTGATGGCCCTGCGGAAGCTGGCCAAGAAAATGGCTACGACAGCGGAGGCAACTTTTGATGGAACTCCCAGCTCTAGCTGGAATCCACAGCCAAGTCAACGTGTGGACAGGCCACAACGACGCCGACGACAACAATTCTCGGCGGATGT